GGGAACGACTTGGGTACGGGTTGTTCGAAATGTGGAGAGAGAGAGACGTCCACCTGCCTAGGCCCCACCTGTAGTAAGTTGCCTTCGCTCCACATGTTAGGATATCAAGCCGCCCAACTAGTCAGGAGGAGACACACAAAAAAAGCTAGTCGAGAGGGAGCGATCAAAGACTTTAACCAAATGGCAGTGCAACGTTCGGGCTTCTGTGAGCTGATGGTGGAGGGGAGGACAAAAGTAAGCAAAGTTAGTTGTCTTGGGCAAAACTGAGCACAACTAAGCAACCAGGGGCACATAAATAGAAATCCCTTCATTTAACAAGATATGCAAATATTTTTTTCTTTTTCTTTTTTATACTTGTTGAAGTCGCTTAGATACGCAATAATTAGGACACACCTAGACGTGCCCTTGACAAGTCCTTGCAGAAATATCTAATGCAGTCATGTCTTTCCTTACCCTCTTGTTTAATAAAAATAAAATACAACGGGCTATCGTGTTTCAGGAAAAGAAAAGATAGAATAGTATCTGCAAAATTGCCTTTTCTTCCGAATCAATCGTGTAAAATTGCCATAAAGCTCGGTGTGCTCCATTTACTCACTAGTCACTACTGTCTCCAGCCTGTTTTATTATTATTATTAAAAAAGAAAGAAAAGCTGTCTCCAGCCTGTAGTCTTCCACTAAAAAGGACCAGGTTATTAAACTCTAACCTCAAACTAACCAAACAAGAAGCAGCCGCGTCGGCGAAGCCAAGAGAAACCATTACTAGCACTACAAAGAGAAAACAATTTTAAAAGAATTTCGAGTTCGCGACAGCGAGAAGCAGGGCCGGGTCGCGGGGCCGCGGGCGGGCGTGCGCGTTAGCATGGAGAGCGAGACGGCGGCGCGCGGTGGCCGGAGCCAGCCGCTGGCGGAGGAGGCGGTGGGGTCCAGCCGCACCATGGAGCGCGTCGCGGCTGCGAAGAAGATCATCGAGAACGACTACCGCGAGCGCATGAAGAATCTCCGGGAGCGCAACGAGAGGTACCGCCGGCCTCCCATCCCCGTCCTGAAACTCCCGATTTTGTCTATTCGGCCGCGTGCGGGTGTACCTGGATCTCGGGGGGTCGGGATGATCGAGGGATTGGGGATATCTCAGCGATTCGGGGGTTTATACTTTTGTCCTCTGTAGTTTCCGCTGCATGTCTAGCTGGTAATTCGGCGACTTTTAGGGTAGTTTGTTCTAGACTGTGGCTGTAGATTGTACTGTGAAGTACTCCATCTTTGAGCCTTTTCTTTTCTAGAATATGCACGAGTGTGCATATCATATACTCCATCCGTCCCAAAATAAGTGAGCTGGGACACTTATTTTGAGACAGGAGGGAGTATTACAGAAGAAAGGGGTGAAGAAACCCTCCACAAGGTTTACAACCGATTTACAAGGCTCTCACTAGCCACCACAAGATAGTTACATTAGTATGGGATTACTCGCGGCTAGCCTGCCTACTCAGACCACCGAAGAAAAACTCAAAGTCACCCTTTAATAGACCCGCTGATTTCCATGTTCGTCCTTCATGATTAATGTTCCGCAAGGCTAGTTGATGGGATGGGGATGCGCCGTCGAACACTATGGTGTTACAGTGCTTCCAAAGTTCACATAAGCAAAGCGTGATAATCGCCTTTAGGTCTCTTGGTGAGCATTGAGCCGCAACCTGCATGGTGCACCACTCCACCAACTCCACGTCCGCCACTGGAGTTTGGTTTGGCTCGTCGCGAGCGCTCCAAATCCATAGCCACAGGTTCTCGCAAAGACACATGTGAGGAGGATGTGGTTGATTGTTTCGACCTGTTGGTTGCAAAATGGGCACGTAGTTTGGTGTGGGAGTCCTTGGCGCGCGTCTGAATTCCAGCAACGGTTCCGCATGGCCAGCCACGAGAAGAACCGGCCTATCTTTGAACTTTGGGACGTCCAATTACGGTGTAGGTTGGGCGTGCTGATTTGCTGAGAGATTTTGGATGGTTGATAGTTACTCCCTCCATCCCATAATGCAAGACGTTTTTCGACTCTAGTGTAGTGTCAAAACATGTTACATTATGGGACGGAGGGAGTATCTGCTAATTGGATTGAATTGTTGCTCATTGCTCCCGTTGAGCTGAGCATCCTTTGTCAATGCGGTTCTTGGATTGTAGCTAGAAGAAAACAAGGGCTTGTGTTGTCTGATTGCTTATGTGGAGAATTTGTCTTGACATATTGGTGTTTGCAGCGTGCAGACCTGAGTTTCTTGCTCCATGCTCACTAGTGCTGTCTTTACTTTTTGGGGGTGGTTTGCCTGTTGGTATGCTCAGACATGTTGTAAGTTGGGTTTTAGGGCATCTCCAAGTCAGGCACCCATTCCGGCTGCAAATGTTCGGCCTGTCTAGTACATACACTTTTAGCCGTCCAACGCGGGCACCCATTTTGAGCCGGACTATCTGGAATATCCTAGCCTGGCGGAGTAGGGAGTCCGGACGTCTGCCACGTCAGATCTGACATCCTGGATCCACGCCAATAACCCTAATCAGTCCCTTCCCCATCCCACACCCCTCTCTCTTTCCATGCCCGACCCCGAGGCCGCTACCAAAACCACCTCGGCCACCGCCGTAGCAGCAATACCACCACCACTGGCCTTTGCCGCCGCAATGAATCTCTCTGGCCCAATGAACTTGACCTTGTCCAACATCTTCGAGGTGCTACCGTCGCAAGCACCCACGTCGGCCAAATCCGGAGAGTATCAAGCGGCAAGAGCGCCGCACGAGAGAGAAGGCGCAAGGGGCCGGTGCGGCGGTGTGAGCATGAGCTCCTCTTGCAAGCTATGCTGCTGTGCCGGGTGTGCCTGCACACGCGTCGCCCCACGGCGCCCCTGCCTACCACTATAGCCTGGACTCACAACAGTCCCCCACCTCCACCCACTCTGGTCTCCCGTTCATCATCAACCTCAACATCGGCTACAACTTCACCGAGTCATTGCGGCTCATCCCACAGCATACACCACCGGAGGATAGCTTCTCTGCAGGCGCTCGAACCCTGTTCAGTGGACCTCCCCCTCCTAAGCTCGACAACGGCCAAAGAGGTGATGATGTCCATGATCAACGATGGTCAAACGAACGGAAGGGTGAAAAAATAATACTCGCCGGCGCCGGAGATGGAAGCAAAGAAAGCGAAGAGGGGAGTTGTATACACCACCAAGGAGGACGAGCTGTTTTGCTTGGCTTGGTTGGGCAATAGCGTTGATCCATTTGTCGGTGCTGAGCAAAGGGGTGTGACCTTATTGAGGAAGGTGTGTGAGTTCTTTTATGGCATGAAGAACTACCCATCGTATCATGTGGTGAAAATCGGTGATTGGAGTGAGAACTCCTTCAATCATCGGAATAAGTATTGTGGTGCATATGCCCGAATCAAGAACAGAGCACCTAGTGTCATGGGTCCAAGTGGCATGGGTATCGTTGAGCTTGTAAGCTTCGCTTCCCATAAAGTTCATCATATGATTTATTTGCCCTATGTCGCAATGTTTTTCATCATGTGATTCATTTGCTTTTCTAGCCGGCCTCGCGGCACCACTGTCCAAGAAAATCGAGGGTAAGCCATTCACCATGCATCATTGTTGAATCAAGTCGAGTGGCGAAATCAAATGGAGTGACTTTGCCAATTTACTCAAAGCCGCAAACGCCAAAAGTGGCGCAACCTCCCAAATGGATGAAGTTGGTGAAACAAGCGGTGGAGTTCAAGGGGGACCGAGAGGGCAAGGTGCAATCGGGCGACCAAATGTCGGAGAAGTGGGAGGATATCATGGACAAGAACGAGGTGGCAAGTGCCAAACACAATGAGCTCAAGGAGGAAAAGAAGGAGGAGAGGTTTAAAGAGTTCATGGAGATGCAAGCAAAGAAGGTTGACATTGAGTAGAAGAGGCTTGAAGTTCAGACGGTGTGTGAGGAGTCCAAGGTCATGTATGTCAAGGCTAAAGACTTGGATGCCGATGCGGCGTTGTGGTTTCACCAAATGCGCAGTGGAATCATTGCATGCTATGCAAATGGCGGTTGGCACTGATTCATTCGGTTGCTTTTGTTTGAATTGTTGGATCTGGATTATGAAGTTTGTTTGAATTCTTTGTCATTTGTCATGCACAATTTATCTTCCAATTGTTTGAACATTGATCAAATTTGACTTAGCGAGAAAAAGAGAGTGGAGGAAGGACAGACAAGTAGGGGATTTTTTTGTGGAAGCCTTGAGATGCCCTTAGTGGCATGTTTTAACAATTGTCAACTGGACATAGCAATGTGTTTTAAGGAGTTCGACAATAGTGGGTGGAGCCAGGATTCTGTCATGTGTGCATGTAGGTGGGTGGCCATTGTGGTGGGACTTAGCGCACATTTGCACTTGACTAACTTGACATTAGACGATGAGTTTGACGCATTACTTACACTTAGTCAATCGATGGCACAAACAAAACAGATACAAGTGCCTGATCAAAGCCTAAACAAACAAAAGAGACGAAACATTGTGCACATTTTTGGGAGTTTAGAAAAACATTGTGTATTTGTGCAGTAGAAATTAGATTAAGTGCGAACTTGAAGTGCTCAATAAGAATATTGTTTTGGTGCCTTTTAGCCTCGTCCAAACAGACATTTAATCACATAGAATAAGTTAATGGCTGGTATTAACTGCCAATGCCAATAAAAGCTATTCCCTCCATCCAAGTTTATTAGGCAACATTTTGGAAATCTCTGATACTTTTCATTGACTGGGTTTGTATCTTCAAGTAAAGAAGTTGAGTCCCCACAAAAAGGAAAAAGAAAACTTGTTGAGAGCGATCCACGTATTATGCATATGTTATAAGTAAAAAGTTAAAATTCTATGGTGACATTCCTATTAAAGACATCCGTGTCACTCTATTTTAGTTTCCTTATGCATATGCTGTCAAATTGCCGATCTCTAGATATATCTCCTGCAAAGTTTGTGGCTGGCTTCTGCATCTCAACCGCCTCAACACAAGCTTCAACCTGCACCACAAAAACCTTCTGCCTTCCGCAACATGCCCGATGTGCATGGCCCATGCAGAGGACCGCCTACATCTATTCGTCCGCTGCCCCACGGCAGCCAGAGTCTGGCAGAAGGCAGGAATTCATCGGGCTACAAACCCCTTGGAAGACATTTGGGAGACAACACCACCGGCAGGGCTGCCCGCGACCATGACTGTGCCCGTGATCCTGACTACCCTTAATTTGGGATGCCAGGAATGCTAAAGTTTTTCGTCAACAAAACCTCACTGTTGAGGATGTAACACGAAACTCTTTCTCTCCGACCTCTCTCTATGGCCTGGCGTGACTTTCTTTCCTCTCGATAGCCTTGTGCTTGCGGGATTACCCACCCAGGTGAAACTTAAAAAAAAAACTCCTGCTCTAGGAACACACTAATGTAAATTTGTCTACTCTCAACGTTGAGCTGAAAATCAACACATAGCTTTCTAGCACTCTCTTCGAAGATAAAAACCAAAACAATCACAAACCACACTATTTCGAATGTAATTGTGCACATCAATCAAGTACAAAAATTACGAGTCGTCACATACTCAAATGGAAAAGCGACAAAAATGCGAACTTTGTTCCTGTCCATGCCCTCCTGCAACTATACCTACATCTTCATTTCGAATAGCAAATCCCCTTGACCCAATCAAAGGAAACCAGCAGCTAGCTCCACAAGCAAGGATCAATGCTTTCACAGAGCCGCACACTGCTGAACACAAGCAATGACCCAATCAACTCAATAGACACGCGTTCCAAATATCTCTTGAAATCTCACTCATTCTAGTTTAAATACATTTATTTTAATTTGTCTTAATCCTGGTTTCAACTACCAAAGTCTAGACTATATGTTGTATTAAATGTGAATGGAATCTTTCTCTTTCTTGTCATCTTTTTGCGCTCGTAATTTGTAGGGAGCATATATTCATCCTTGGGTCCATCACTTCATTTGGAAACATTGCCTTTTTATTGCTTACAGTGACAAGCTTATCACACACTGTCGTTTGCTTTTATTTCTATTGATACTAGAAACTTGGATCCATTGTACAATTGCAGACGCTTGATTTTGGAACAACAGCTAGCTTCTTCTCAAGTTCCTAGGGAGGAGCAGATAAAATTGATAAAGGAGTTGCAGAGGAAGGAGACTGAATACATGAGACTTAAAAGGCATAGAATTTGTGTGGATGACTTTGAGCTGCTCACCATCATTGGAAGAGGTGCTTATGGGGAGGTTTGCATCTTCCAGTATCTGCAAGCATGCTTTTCTGAGTCACTTAGGCAGTCCATATTTTGTAATCCCTTTCAATTCAATTGTATCTGCTCAATAAATAGTTGGCATTTGCCAAATAAACATAGTATGCAAACGCCAATACTGGCGGCGCCAGTTGGTTGCATGTAGCATTTCCTAGATCTATTGGCTCTAAAATTCCTGATGTTTAAAGTACAACTGTTTGTCATGCTGGAGCTGCTGACCCCTGTAGGTGATAACTTGATTTGTTGTTCTGATAGGTTCAACTATGCCGGGATAAATCCTCTGGTAATATTTATGCAATGAAAAAACTAAAGAAGTCTGAAATGGTTGTCAAGGGTCAGGTATGCTAAGAGTACTGTACTGCTTGTTTTGCATTTTCTTTTCTTTTTAATATTTGTGGATATGTTAGAACATTTTTGTTTTGATATATTTTGATGCTAGCCACCAAAGCAGTCTCGTCATGTAAGAAATAACAATGATAGATGCCATGCTAGAGAACTCAAAATGGCTTGTATCTTGACCTGTGTGTTAAGTTCTGACTGAATTTATTTGATGAGATTGTAGAGTAAGAGTATAGGACTGCCTTTCGTGGATTCCTTTTTTATAACTGTGACACGGATGTTATAGATAACACGTGGTTCAAATTGTAGAGTAGGACTGTCGGTCATGGTCAGCTGTTATATTTCTACTCTACAATTTTTTTTACCTCAATACAATTTTTGATGTACTGTTGTTTTCATGAACTATTGTTTAATGTGAGAGGCTTTGTATGTTAGTTCCCAGATTATTCATTTTTGCTTTGAATTGAATTTTTTCAACTATTATTATGGGAATTTTAAGTAAGTTTAGTTTGCCCTGTTCTTCTTGTTGGAACTAATATTTTCTTTACATCTATTAGGTGGAGCATGTTAGATCTGAAAGAAACTTGCTGGCTGAAGTTGGTAGTCACTGCATTGTGAAGCTATACTATTCTTTCCAAGATGCTGAGTATCTCTACCTTATCATGGAGTACCTTCCCGGAGGTGATATGATGACCCTCCTCATGAGAGAGGATACCTTAACTGAAAATGTGGCTCGATTCTATATTGCTGAGACAGTTCTTGCCATTGAGTCTATTCATAAACATAATTACATCCACAGGTCACATACTTCCGAATCTTATTTGCATATGCTATATTCTATATATGTTTATTCAAATCTATTTTTGTTTTATTGTCCTTACAGGGATATTAAGCCTGATAATCTCCTTCTCGATAAGAATGGACACATGAAGTTGTCAGATTTTGGCTTATGCAAGCCAATTGACTGTACCAAATTGTCAACCTTGAATGAAGACGAACCTATGACTGATGAAAACCTTAGGGAGTCCATGGATATCGATTATTCTCTCCCTGATACAGCAAATGGTAGAAGGTGGAGAAGTCCAAATGAACAGCTTCAGCACTGGCAGAAGAACAGGAGAAAATTGGTGCGTGCTTGCTTACCATATCGAGCATCCAACTAGTTACATACAACTCCATTTGTTCTTTTTCCTTATTCCGTGGGCATAAATTCTCAACATCATTTCTCAAAAGGGAAAAATATAGCCAAACATTTCCATTTTAAATGAATTTCAGGCATTTTCTACTGTCGGTACGCCTGATTATATTGCTCCTGAGGTTTTACTGAAAAAGGGATATGGAGTTGAGTGTGACTGGTAGGTTAAGAATTTCATATTTACATATTTTATTCCTTGTTTTGATCTTCAAGGCAAAAAATTAAACTTGTCTCTTGTTTTAAATAACTGTTGTATGATTGCTTATTTTTTATTTGCATGCAGGTGGTCCCTGGGTGCAATCATGTATGAGATGCTTGTTGGGTATCCACCATTCTATTCTGATGATCCAATAACCACATGCCGAAAGGTTTGTTTGCTGAATAATCTATCTATAACTGAATCGTTAAGCCCGTGTAGTTGCGTGTTGTATACATGTTAATTTGGACATGCCATTGCAAAGTTTACAGTAAAATTGCAACCTTTGCAGTGGCATTATTCCAACCTTTCCTTGTACTTGTAACATATCTTATGAGAGTTGTCTTTGTGGTCAAGATCATTACATTATCTAGTGAGTTGGAATATGTTGCAGATAATAGGATTCCCGCCAACTGGTGGGATAGAGCTCTTTTTTTTCAGTGGGAGTTATTATCATATAGTTCTCTTCTTCCACTGAGGGTGTTTAAACACACATCATCATTAGCCCCACCAAAAAGGATGGATATACATTTTTCCTTTTTTGAATGAGAATTTCATGGCATATTCTATTTGTTATAAGTCTAACCACACATTGACTTCCATTATATAACAATATATTTACTGCTTGAGGGTTATACTGATTTTGATTCATTTTTTAGAACAGTCATACTGTAGTGTAGTGGTTTAATTTGATTATCTTAGTTATTATAGTTTAGTATGGAGCTTATTTTTAGCTGCATGTTAAATTTACTGAAAACATTGCTGCGCATTTTTGCTATTTGTGTTGTTGTGCAGGAACATACAAATTTTCAGGTCCAGATCACCCTAGTCGAATGAGGTAGATGAAATATAGTTAGCAAAGTAGTTCCTTGCTAAAGGCTTTGTTGTTGTTGTTGTTGTGGAAGTAGTTCCTTGCTCTGCAAGGTTTGCCAAATGTTACTAGCCTTGATTCTCTCCCATGTGTGGAAGTGTGTAAATGGCAAAGTTCTTTGGTCTTTAGCTTTAAATTACTCCTATGCTGGCATGATTTGAAATTCTGGACTACCTGTCTTTGAATTTCATACAATTGACAGTAAACTTATGTATTTTGGTCTCTTTTTCTGGGTATAAATAACCTGAGAAAGATGAGTACCCATATTCTATAAGCGCTCCCACTTTCTGTTGTAAGTACTGCACTGACTCTGCTCTACTACTTCCTAGATTGTACATTGGAGAAGCTATTTAAAATTTCCAGAAAATCCAAGGTTGTCTCCTGAAGCTAAGGATCTCATTTGTCGGTTCTTATGTGATGTTGACCACAGGATTGGCAGTGGAGGAGCAGATCAAATAAAGGTATTTGTCTCTCAAAATTATCTGCTGTCTCCAGTTGCAAATATTAGTTATCTTAAAATCCATGCTGGTAAAACATTTTCAGATTTAGTCATCCATATACAAAATAGTACCTAAATTGGCTGGCTGAAATCGGTATTACTATATATCACGAAATGAAATATAGTTGTGTACTCCTGTGGACTCGTATTAGGGGCAAAAAAATATCAAAGGGGAGTTAAAGAAAGAGAAGGAGAGCCTGCCGCATGGCCGGAAACTGTGGTCACAAGGACAGATAGAAACATGGATGAGCAGGACTAGGTTTCAGATAATACTCTTAAGGAAAAAAGAATTGGGATTGTCAAGTCTGTCCAGGAATTAGTGAGACGAGAGTTCAAATCAGAGTTGTGTTTGTGTTCAATGGGTACTATATAAACCAGGTCCTTGTTTGTAATAACAATCAGGTCTTCTAGTTTCTATTCCTGACCCCTCTGAGTCTCTCTATCTAATCTCTGCCACCCTTTTAATCGCCGGCAATGGCGCCTTGATGCAGAGGACGAACTCGTCCCCTTGTGTCCCACCCCTACTACTTCCACAACTATACATACATACATACATACATACATACATACATACATACATACATACATACATACATACATATGATTCCATCCGAGTATTGCTTGCATATGTTATGTTTGTTACACTCAAATTTCTTTTTCTTAGGCTCATCCTTGGTTTCATGGAGTTGAATGGGATAAGCTTTATGAAATGGAGGCGGCATTTAAGCCTCAAGTAAATGATGAACTGGATACACAGAATTTTCAGAAGTTTGACGAGGTGAGCAAATTCTTTTGCTTTAGTTTGCTGTGTGTTTGATCCTTTAAACTAGACTGACCAGGGACCCCCTGGTGGCACTTATTACAGAAGACAACCCGAGCACCCACCCTGTGGTTTGCTTCTTTAAATATTCCCAACTTTCAAGAATATTTCGTTTCATATTCAATATGTCATTCTTTCAGCTCCATATGCTTTTCTGTCGTGCATAAATTATATTTATCACTTTCCTTCTTCTCTGCAGGTAAATCCCGCTCCAGCAAGAACAGGTTCTGGGTCCTCAAGGAAGGTATGAATTTATGAACCATCAGATTCGACAAAACTACTCTAAAAGCATGTTCAGGCTTGTATGCCCATTTTTTACTCATCTTTTAGACCACATGATATTGTTGATAATGACCACGTGATATTGTTGATAATATTAATACATTCATACTCTGTCTTTTTAATTCCATAACGTTGTCATTTTGTGTATTTAATTTAACTTGGGGCTGTCAAGGAGGTATACCTCAATGGCCGACGCTACACCTGGTCGAACGAGCAGACGCCCCCAACCTTGGTCCACCTCGACCGCGTCCTCTGCACCGTGGACTGGGAGGAGCAGCACGGCGATTGCTACCTCCAATGCCTGGCCTCGGTCGTCTCTGACCACAGCCCCCTCCTCCTCGACTGCTCGCCCCTACCCCCAGCGCACCGACGCTTCCACTTTGAGGATTATTGGACAAGGCTCGAGGGATTCTAGGACGTGGTCGCGGGCGCATGGCACTCCGTGGACGACGCTGACCCGTTCCGCTGCATCATGCGACGCATGCAAGCCACCGCACGCAAGCTCACGAGCTGGAGTGCGCGCTCCGTGGGGAATATTCGCGACCAGCTCGCGATCTCGCGTGAGCTGCTGCTGCGACACCGCCCAGGAGTTGCGACATCTGACGCCGCATGAGGACTGGCTACGTAGGCAGATCAAGCTCGCCTACCTTGGCCTCGCCTCGCTCGAACGAACCCTGGCGCACCAGCGCGCGCATCGCATCGCTCAAGGATGGGGACGCGAACACCTCCTTCTTCCACCGCCGGTGCACCTACCGCAAGCAGAAGAACATGATCCATACTCTGGTGGTTGAGGGCGCAACTCTAACTGACCAAGCAGACTTGGCCGCGGCGGCATTCGCGCACTCCCTGCTTGGGACCGATCACCCCCGGGATTGCACCCTCAACCTCGAGGACCTCATCGCGCCATCCAACCTCGATGACCTGGACGCCCCCTTCAGCGAAGACGAGATATGGCAAGCTGTCGAGCGGCTGCCGGCGCGCAAGGCGCCTGGCCCAGACGGCTTCACCGCAGAGTTCCTGCGCTCCTGTTGGCCTATCGTAAAGCACGACCTTGTCCGCGTCTTCCAGCAGCTATATGCGCTTCGAGGAAGAGGTTCAGCTGCTTGAACCAAGCGCTGCTTACGCTGATCCCAAAGCATGCTGACGCAGCAGGGCTGGGGGATTACAGGCCCATTAGCCTAATCCATCTCGTCGCGAAGATCTTCGCAAAGGTGCTGTCCCTTCGACTAGCACCCAAGTTGAACGAGCTTGTCAGCCCCATTCAGAACGCCTTCATACCAGGAGGAAGCCTTCACGACAATTTCGTACTTGTCCGACAATCGGCGCGCCTCCTTCATCAGCTCGGCGCCCCGCGCATCCTCCTGAAGCTGGACCTTGCACGGGCATTTGACTCCGTGTCGTGGCCGTTCCTATTCAAGGTCTTGCGCCGGTATGGCTTCAACGATCGCTTCCTCGGTTTGATTGCCATTCTCCTGTCATCGGCAAGCACTAGAGTTCTCCTCAACGGCGCGCCGAGACCCGCGATCTGGCACCGCTGCGGGCTCCGTCAAGGCGACCCTGTGTCACCAGAGCTCTTCGTGCTTGCCGTCGACACATTGGGGCGCCTTTTCCGTCGCGCGGCCGAGCTCAAAGTCCTACAGTAACTACACCCTCGCCGCGCGCTCCACGGACTCTCGCTGTACGTGGACGATGTCATACTCTTCTGCCACCCCACGACGCACGACACACTCGTCGTCCGAGAAATCCTGCAGCTATTTGGTCGGGCGTCAGGCCTCCGGGTCAACTTCCTGAAGAGCACGGCTACAATGATCAGATGCGATGGCGACATGGCTGCCCTATCGCGGCGCTGCCCATCACCTACCTGGGGATCCCACTCACCCTTGGACGCCCTACCACTGCACAGCTGCAACCCCTCGTCGACAAGACCGCTGGCAAGCTCCCCACCTGGAAGGCGCGCCTCATGAATAAGGCCGGACGCCTTGCCTTTGTGAAATCAGTGCTGAGCGCGATCCCCATTCACCAACTTCTGGTGCTCGCGCCGCCGAAAAAGATCCTCAAGCTCCTTGAAAAAATCCAGCGAGGATTCCTTTGGGCTGGCCGCGCCGAGGCGAACGGCGGCAATTGTCACGTCAACTGGCAACGCGTCTGCCGCCTGACCCGGCTTGGAGGACTCGGGGTGCACGACCTGGAGCGCACGGGCTTGGCCTTGCGCACTAGATGGCTTTGGTTCGCCCGCACGGACGACAACAGGGCATGGTCTGGCCTCGACCTCCAATTCACTGCCGCGGAGCGCGCCTTCTTCTTCGCGTCCACCACCATGATCCTCGGCGACGGCCAGCGTGCGCTGTTCTGGGAAGACCGTTGGCTCAACGGGCGTGCCATCTCGGAGCTTGCGCCACAGCTGCACGCCCTCATCCCCAAACATCGCTCGGCGGACGGACTGCACGCACACCAATGGGCATCGGACATACAGGGCACCCTTGGCATCCGCGAGATCGGCCAATACCTGCTCACTTGGCAGGCGATCGAGCACATCACACTCACTGCCGAGCTGGATCGCCTACTCTGGAAGTGGAGCGCGGCAGGTACCTACACAGCCCAGTCCGCCTACCTAGCCACCTTCCATGGCTCGACCTCTTGCCCTGCTTGGAAGCTCACCTGGAAGAGCTGGGTGCCCCCGCGAGTGAAATTCTTCCACTGGCTTGCCCAGCTGGGACGTTGCTGGACGGCCGACTGCCTTGCTCGTCGCGGACTGCCGCACCCCCCTCGCTGCCCGCTTTGCGACCAAGCGCCTGAATCAATCCAGCACCTAATGCTGGAATGCCCCTTCTCCAAGCAAGTATGGCACGAGATATTGTCTTGGCTGCGCTTGACTTGCAGCGTGCCCTCCACCGAGGGATCCCTATCAGAGTGGTGGAACTCCGCGCGGCGAAACACACCGCAACCCATGCAAAAAGGCCTTGCCACCGCAACCCTGCTGATCCCTTGGATGACCTGGAAGCATCGCAACGACTGCGTGTTCAATGGCGCAACCCCATCGACCAACGCTCTGACCGCACGGATCAAAGACGAAGCCAAACTTTGGGCAACGGCTGGAGCCCGTGCCCTGCGTGCCATCCCCCCTCAAACCTGGGACGTACACTGATTCATGCCTGTAATCATTCCTTCTAGGAGGCTGTAACAAACTCTATCTTTTCAATACAAAGAAATGCAAGCCTTTTGCGTTTTCTCAAAAAAAATGTCTGTATCAAGATTATCCATCACCCTACCCACTCCAGCTCTACTAATTAAGTGATTTATTATCCTGCAATCATTGGATTGTTGTCAGTACTGCTTAGGAGTAACGGACCGTGTAGAATCACCAAACTATTCGGTTTCTTATTTCATGATGTATGTGCCCACCAAAATTTGCCATAGAATGTGTAGCAACTGCAAAACATTTTTCATGAAGGCAGAGTTTTAGTCTTTGCAATGATTATTGTAGCTATCTAGCCAATCATGATTTATCTATGTGGGATGGGGTGGGTTCTTTTTCTTTCACTTTTTAATGTCCATGCCTAGGATCAATTTCTGTCTTGTAATAAACTACAAACCTTTGTTTTGCACTTCAAGTTACTCAATCATCTTCATCAGTGGTCACATTTAGATGTCCATGGATAGGCATCATTTCAACCTTTTTAACAGACTACATGCCATCATTTCTTTATTTACTCCGAAGCTCTTCGTCATTTTTTTGAAACATTATTGCAGATTATTCCTAATTCTAAAGACCTTAGCTTTGTGGGCTATACATACAAGAACTTCGAAGCTGTGAAAGGTTTGCGTCAGTCTGCAGGTTTGTTTCCTTGTAATCATTAGTCATTTCAGATGATTTGCTTAGTTCACTATAACTGGCTGATACACCTCGCCTCCCTCCCTAAAGCACACAGTTTCTTTTAACCTTTATTTTGCTATTTGTTCCCAGAAGATGTTATGGTGAGATTCCTGTTTTGTTTTCCTTTTCTTAAAATAGTTTACGAGCAAATATTGGGTGATTTTTTCTTCCATATACCGGCTAATTCATTGAAAAACAAAAACTCTGCTTTTAGATAGCTGTACTTGGTGTTTATACTTGCCAACCCCCCTTTACATCAATGCTGAAAATGGGTCTATCTTTCCGAGATTAGCTCAATGGTAGAAATAGGAACTGCTCATTGCTTAGTTTTGCTCCTTTCAGCTCGGTAGTAATTGATGTTTTTCAGTCCACTTTACCATTTCTGTTGATTTTGATTACCTGTTGGATTGTTTTTTTAGCACAGCTACATTTTCATATTTATCATGTGTTGCCACCGTATATGTTACTATGCACTACATCAGTGCATGTGCACATTATGTCAGATTGTTATACTGCCTTCACTTTGTTAGTTTCATTCCTTACTTGCAACAGCTGACGCAAACATAAACATATGCAGGTCTGGGAAGAAGCTCCTCGTTTACAAGCCAGCCTAGTGAATCTGCATCTGGTGAGTATTATTTCCTTTTGTTGGCTTGTTTGTAAACATCTGGCTAGAATGCCCCTTGCTTATGCCATTTTATCTTGTTTGAACCCTCACGATCCCAGATACAGCCGATATGGATTCATCAGCAGAACCGAATGGAAGTGACACACACATGCGCACTGTTTCGTCTGCCGATCATATGATGCAATAAGCAGCCCTGCTGCCACTGAAATCCCCGTCCCCGCACCAGCATGATTCGCCTTCAGTGATGTGGCTTCACCCAAAGCGATCTGCTTGATTTTAGTCAGTCTTGCACTTTACTTATCGTTGGTGAGCATTTTGTTGTAGGTGTACAAATTAGTCAGTATGCAACAGCGCATGTGCTGGGCTTGGTCAGATATGGTGCTGAGCTGCTTGGTTGCCCAGGTTGGCAGGTTATTGCCTTCCTTGCGGCAGTTCGTAGCCCGCCAACGTAGGTTCATCATTGGGTAGGAGAAGAATTAAAGAGACAGTATTTGTGGTAGGCTAGCCATTGTTGCTTGCTGCTGGTTGTTTTTTCTTTTCAGTTCTAACTGCCTGATACTTTGATATGCATCGGATAATTATCTGTTGGAACTTGCACATGAATGCTTCATCTGTGGATTAAAGTGAGTTTCCATATTTTAAATGCCCAGGTGACGTTTCTTCATTCTTTTCTAGAGTGATGTTTCTTCATTCTATAGGATTTATATATATCCAACGTTAGGATCAACACAACAACAAATTATCGATGTTCTTTTCTCTTGTACTTCCTCCGTTTCTAAATGTAAGACTTTTTTTTTAGAAATTTCTATACAAACTACATATTGATGTATATGGACGTATTTTAAAGTGTAGATAAACTCATTTTGCTCCATATGCAGTATATATTGAAATCTTTAAAAGGGCTTGTATTTAAAAGTGCGTAAGGAGGGAGTAGAATACACCATGGAGATGTGTACCTTTTTTCCTGTAAGAGAGGAAGAGCCGAGCGGCCAGCACATCACTTTTCGGCTTTACAACACTACACATGCAACGACAACAACCTACAAGGACTTTGCCCAACTGGAAAAATATCAGGTGCTACCGGTCCGTAGGTGATACTGCGATACTACGAGACTAGTTGGGAACTACTCCTTTCCTCCCACAATATAAGACGTTTTTGCGACGTTTTTGCAAGCTATGTTAGCTTGCAAAAACATCTTATATTATAGGATGGAGGAAGTAGTGCCCAACTAGAGTATAATGATTGCGTCTCGACCGATGTTGGCCACTTCCACGTGTATTTCAAACGTCTGCGTGTTCACGGACATGGATATGGTAGTTGGGCATCCAACGTCGTGCCTCCAAACATTTGCGTGTATTTTGAATGTAAATTGAACAAAAAGGATGAATTTCATACAAATTGGATAATTTTTATTTAAATTGGATCAAATTAATAAGAAATTTGACATATTACATTAAATAAAAGCGAGTATGACAATTTTTTTGATGTCCCACGTCCTACTATTACCTGACCATGGATGGTTTCGTCTTCCACATCCTACTTTTCATCAGTGTCGTGGTCGTGGACGTCGCCCGTCGAGGTGAGGTCCACGATAGACGTGACGGCCCGGCTTAGTGGTAGTTGCGGCCTGGCGAAACGATGCAGAGTTGTCGACATGAGCAGCGTTCCCGTCTGCGATCGCCTCCGCTGCAAGCTCCTCGAACAGGGGGTCACGCTCTGCCTCCATGACGTGCAGCCGCCACCACTCACAGCCTCCATGACGTGCAGCCGCCACCACTCACAGCGGATGGCGCAGGCGCTACACATGGACTGCTCATCCATGAAGGTTGGATTCTCTACTACTCCCTCCGTTCCAAAATAGATGACTCAACTTTGTACTAAGTTTAGTATAATGTTGGGTCATCTATTTTGGAACGGAGGGAGTACATGTGTACCCGCTCGCCCTTGACCTGGCCCTCCACAAGTCAGTGCTGCTCGACGAGTTGCAGATTCTATTGCTTCTCATCCTGTAGCTCTAAACGTGGAGACCGGCGGCGTAGGCTGCTCCCGCTCCTGTCCTTTGCTACGACGGCCCCGATGTGTACCCGCACATGCGCCATGGCGAAGCCGGCAACCGGCGTGGACTCAAACTCGTTGTTGGACGCTTCCTCCAATTTTCGGTTGTCATCCTTCGAACTCTCCTCTAGCGAACTCAATGACAGTCTAGCATGTATGCGACGCGCACATCGGGCCTTCTAGCCTTTTGCAAGGGCCCGCCGTTTCGTGCTTCTGCGCCGACGCGATACACTTGCACATCTCGTTGCCGCTCGCCGTCATTGCATCGAAGGGAGGAAGGTTGTGAGCAGAGGACGAATGGAAGCGAAGGCGGTTTCTGCAATGCGCGACCATGCTTATATATTGGGTGCCATCTAGGTGAAGTGCCGGTTTGAATGTGGGCGCCCAGAGTGGGTTTCTCGGCCATCGCGCATGTTCAATGCCGAGTAGGTGAACTGTAATGTCGTAGGAAGCTGTCCCGTCACCCAGTCCGGCCGCATCACTCTGAGCCGACATTGAACGCGAATGGAGAGCATGCGAGCAGATGTGGCGTGGTGGTGCTCTTGGCTGTCGCGCCTCAATGCCCAACATACTGCAGACCAGTCACGTCTACTCTGAACCGACATGAATGTGGCGCCTCTTCGCGGAGGGACGGTTGGAGCGGTCATACTGGAGAGTTTTTTGGGTGGGACCGCGTTTCTTGACGCATACGTGGCGGAGGTCCGGACGCCAGCAAACCTCCCACGGGGTTGGTGCCAGTTTGCGGGAATTCGGACATTGGAGGCAGCTTGTATGTCATCCTTGTCACCGGTACGACTGGAACTGATCGTATCATGGTTGAATCTTATGGAAACAAAAACCAAAGGAATCGCCAAGATTTACCACACTGACACACACAACGCCACCAATTCTAAAGCTTACATTGAACCAAACCCCAAAATGATATCCATGTTCATCGTGCAAGCATGCAAAAATTAACCAGCAAGGGAGTGATACAAGCTATCCCTTTAGTTCCATTGGCATGGAGGTCCAGAAAGAGGAAAATATTTTTGTGGAGCCCAAATTCCCATTGCCAAAGGTCTAGAGAGAAGGTCAAAATTATGTTAGGAACACATCAATGATGATCAAAGACAAAAGAAACCATGCATCAACGATCACTTCAAAAACACCAACTAGAGGCATACAAGGTACAATAGCAAGATTGTCTGACTGTATTATTTAACTGATCAACTACTTATACAACACCGAGGGAAAATCTATGCCTCACACTTAAGGGAAAAATATAATAATGGTTGGGTTTTCGAGAAGTCAAAAATGAAGAAAGTCTTGAGTCAATGCAGCTGACCATTAGGCAATGGAGATGACCTTATGATCGATGTCAACGCAAGGAGTAGGGATCTCCATGCAACTAGGATGCACATAGAGCTATGAATATGTGAAAGCTCTCCTATGCACTAAGTGGGGGTGCATCCGACTTGCTTGCTCATAAAGACCTCGAGCCTTTGAGGATGCTTGGTACGTCTCCAATGTATCTACAATTTTTGGGACTAACCTATTAATCTTGGATGCTTTATATGCTATTTCATATCATTTTTTGGGACTAACCTATTAACCTAGTGCCTAGTGTCAGTTCCTGTTTTTTTACTTGTTTTTAGCTTTTCAAAAAATCAATACCAAACAAAGTCCAAACATGACGAAACTTTACGATAATTTTTTCTGGACCAGAAGGGACCCTAGAAGGTTCAGGATGAGGCCAGAAGAGCTACGAGAGAGCCACGAGCTCACAGGTCACGCCCTAAGCTCGTGGGCCCCATGCAACTTTGTTTGACCTAATTCCACCTCTATGAATTCACATATATTTCCGAACCAATAGAGAGCCACCCAAAACACTTTTTACTCCGCCACAAGCTTCTATTATTTCGCGATCCCATATGGAGGCCTTTTCCGGTACTTTTGCGCAGGGGGAATCAATCACGGAGGGCTTCTACATCATCCTTCCTGTCTTCCGATGATGCGTGGGTAATTTACCACAGACCTACGGGTCCATAGCTAGTAGCTAGATGGCTTCTTCTCTCTCTTTGATCTTCAATACAATGTCCTCCTCGGTCTTCTTGAGTTCTATCCGATGTAATCTTCTTTTGCAGTCTGTTTGTTGGGATCCGATGAACTGTGGATTTATGACCAGATTATTCATTGAAAGTAATTGAGTCTTTTCTGAACTTTATTATGCATGATTGTTATAGCTTTGTTTCTCTCTGATCTATCCCTTTGGTTTGGCAAACTAGATTGATTTATCTTCAGTGGGAGAGGTGCTTGGTAACAGGTCCAATCTTGCGGTGTCCTCACCCAGTGACAGAAGGGGTAGTGAAAGCACAAGTGCTCCCTTGGTGGTTTTGGTAATTAATATCAACATATCTCTTGCTGGACCAATATTTTTATCTAGTATATTTCAGACAAGTTTAACAGTGGCATGGCAAGGACAAGAGGATGTGAACCCCCTTCAAAATGCTAAGGACATGGATTGGCAAAAGCTCAAGACTCTGCATTTTAGATTTGGTGATCCAAGATCACATTGAGTCTATAGGAAAGCCAATACTATTAAAACGGGATGAGGTTTTGATTATGATCTATTTGCTTAAGTGCTTAGTGATATTGCTCCAAAACCCTCAACCACTTTCTCTATCCAAATATGTCCAAAACCTACATTCCAACGTCTCCATTGCGTTTGCACTCTCCAATTCCCATCCCTTTACATTCTTGCATTTAGCATGCTTTACTCTTTCCGCTGCCCATACTCTTGCTATGCTTGTGTAAAATGTATTGTGTGCCAATTAATATGCGCTAAACTCAACCTTAACTTGAAGAATATAAAAACTGCCACTTTTACTTGTTAAGCGTCTAATCACCCCCCTGGACCCCTCTTCTCGATATTCCAATTGGTATAAGAGCTTTGGTCTCCATTTCTTTGGTTTAATCACCATTGGAGGAAGATAGATGAGTCTACGTTCGGGAGTATTAGACATAGAGTGCCTATTCTTGATGGGGAGTTTTATGGTTCTTGGAGAAATGAAATGCTTGAGATCTTTAATGAATACAATTTGAGCAAGTATATTCTTAGCCCTTATGTGCCTCCCATTGATCATTAGCATCCTACCCCGGATGAGTATCTTGACATGCACTGGTACAACGATGTCCTAAACAAATGGTTTTTAACCCCTTTCCGCGACGGCATTTGGAACCGTTGCCAAGTGAGTGTGTGTGATAGGGTGTCCTTCCCACACGACCCAGAAATCATCGGGGATAGGCCCTCCTAGGACCCATGCTGGTTGGAACCGTTGCCAAGTGAGTGTGTGCGATAGGGTGTCCTTCCCACACGACCCAGAAATCATCGGGGATAGTCCCTCCTAGGACCCATGCTGGGGCCGTGTGCGATCGGGCGAGGCATCGAAACCCAATCATTTCCGTAGGTATGTACATCCCACACGGTAATCCGAGAAAATCATTTCCGTAGGTATGTACACCCCACACAGTGAATCCCAGAAAATCATTTCCGTAGGTACGTACATCCCACACTATGAATCCCAGAAAATCATTTCCATAGGTATGTACATCCCCACGGTGAATCCTAGAAAAACATTTCCGTAGGTATGTATATCACACACAATTCTTTGTGTGGAAACGTTTGTGCAAGGTGGTCTAACGCAAACAGTTCGCTGCCGGAAGCCATGTGTGATTGTTAGTTGATCGAACACGCCTACTTTCTAGAAACCGTGCGGGTTGTTTGAGTTTGTCGCCCACGGTGCTGTCTGAGTAACCGTTTGCAATAGAAAACCCCAATAAGCAGGGTAATTAGCCTATTATTGATAATCCATGTACTAATCAAACTGATATTTCTTATAAAACATGCCAGATATTTCATATCTGTATAAAAGCAACCAGGATTTCATAATCGAATTACATCAGATAGCTTCGGCACTCAGTTACGCCATTACACAACAACACCAAGTTTCACATGCAACATCAAAAACCTTTGGAAAGTAGCATCATACATGGTAAGACCGATGAATCTCATTTGGAAAACTACAGAAGCAGAAGGCAAATATTGAGCCTTTAGTGATGTTGAATGTCCTTGCAACTTTAGGCCAGTGGCTATGGATAATTGCCCGCCCAACCTTCATCCTCTTCAGTAAGACTTCAATATTGTACCGTGGATGTTGAATGAATACCTTCCTCGCCTCTTGACCACGCAGGTGGTTTGAGAGGTAATCATCAGTGAACTTCTTTGAAAAGTACTGAAAACAAAGCTATGCATAAATCGCTGTTGTAAATTTTGAAATGGCGCAAGGGGTAAAAACAAGGTAAAAGAGTTAGTACCATCCTATAGTTGACTGATGTCTTCTTCATTGTGCAAACAAAGATCTTGCTGTTATTCGTCGCAAGTTTCTTCATCCTAACAATCTTTCTGAGTTTCTTGACTTGACAGATATTCATGGACATCTCATTTCCTCATATGCAAAATGGGTCGAACAATGAGTCTAAGCCTGTCACAGCAGGACCTACATGTGCAAGACTAAATTGTAAGAAACCTAAATATTAGAATGATTCCTGCAACTGCACAATAATGTGCTATTAGCCAAAGGACCCTGCTTGAACAAACCTTGATGGTAAATCGTAGTGTCTCCCATTATTTCCCTGCAACACACATAAGGAAGATCTTGATCAGGTTAACTGAGAGTTGCCATACTATCAATAGAATATGTATTGAGTACAACCAAATTCGATTGGTG